CACCGCTGGGCCCCTCATGGGGCTCGGCAGTGGAGCTGCAAGGCCGGCGGCGGCGGCCGGGACCGTTCGGGGCGGGGTGTGTGGCCTTATGACACACTTCCGGTGATGTCAGGGGGTGTGGCCTCATGACACACGTCCGGTGATGTCAGGGGGTGTGGCATATGCTAATGAGTTATGCTAATGAGTTCCCCTAGCTCTTTTTCTATGAAACGACCCCTGGTGGACACAATGGCACTGGGTTCAGAGACACTGTTGGAGCAGTTGGTGCAATTTGCCGTGTTGTTTGCCTTTACTTTGGGGGCGTTGGTGGGCAGGCGGGCGGGCATACCGAGTGCGGAGGGGCTGTCTGGATTGGAGGAAACAGTGGCTGCAGAATGATTTGTCGGCCACACAGAAGAAGCTGGACCTGGCTTGAGCCAGTTGAAAGACAAAACTGGAAGTTGTGAGAAGCGCTTGGATGAAGTCCTGTTGAGTTTCGAACTCCACGAATTGACTTAAAGATGCTCTTATACACATGCGCCTGTTCTGAAAGGAAACACTGATGGAATCACTTTTTTTTTTTGTGGTATAACTCTCTTAAAAAGGAGAGAATTTTATTGCTTTTAAATTCAGAAAACGGGGAGGGTATATAGATGGATCAAGAAAAGTGGTGAGTGATGCTTTGGTTAGTATATGAATCTGTTATTAGCATTCACAAAATCAATGGCTTCTTCTGCGGTTGATCTCTTCTTTCCTCTTTACCTGTTAAAGTTAGAGACATTAAATGTGTTAATAATGTCCTATTGGGGTTAGTATCAGTCAATCCTAAAAGAAATCAACCCTGACTGTTCCCTGGAAGGCCAGATAATGAAAATGAAGCTCAAATACTTTGGCCACCAAATGAGAAGGGAGCACTCACTGGAGAAGACCCTGATGCTGGGAAAGATTGAAGGTCAAAGAAGACGGGGACGGCAAAGGATGAGATGGTTGGACAGTGTCATAGATGCAACGAACATGAGGGCCTGGCGGGATCTAGTCCATGGGGTCGCGAAGAGTCGGACTCGACTGTGCGACTGAACAACAACAACAACAAATTGTCCCTTATTGCGCTTTCCGAACACATCTTCAGGTACTGGGGTGCTTCGCTTTTCTCTCTCTCAGGTTGTAAGCTGGATCTTTTGCTGTTGCTCCACCTTCCGATTCTTTGTCCCCTCCCTCCGAGCTGCTGTCTTCTTTGCTGGTGAATACTGTCCATTTAGCGAGCTCTGCCTCATCCTCTGAACTGGCATGCCTCTTCAAAAAATCTTGAGCCTTGAAAATGGAGTCTATCTTTTCTCTCTTGTCTTTAAACTTAAAGACAAGCCCTTCTGGAATCAACCATCTGTAATCAACTTGTTGATTTTGCAAGAATAGGGTCAGTCCCTTATACGCCTTTCGTTTCATACGGATTTCAAATGGCACATCTTTTATAAACCTTATGTTCTGTTCTGCGATTTTCAAAGGTTTTGATGATGTTGCTTTTAAAATTTGGTCTCTGATGCGTTGCTTGGTAAATTTCACAACCACTTCTGCTGGCAGATTATTTTTCCTTGTAAAGTTGGAATAGGCCCTATAGACCAAATCCAACTGATGGAATCACTTTTAATCTGTCATTCAGACGGCCGATTCTCTGCAAAAGTGTTCAACGCGTGTGGAAGGGGAGTGTTGAAATACTTACCTGCTTTGATTGTGTACATTTGTCAAGGGCCAAGCTTCGGAGAATTATTTCCTGGTGTGACACTTGAGGAACTGTGTTGACTGGATCAGTATATGACTGAAATAAAATGCTATTTTAAGAAGTTTTTAAAAAAATCAAGTCTGCAGCCCCAGTGCCAATCAGAAAGGCAGCACAACTAGCCAAAAGGATTTCGACATCCTCAGGGGATTCCCCAGGTATGCAGAGAAATATGACTTTGTGGGTTAACCAAAAGGAAAAATGGAACCTACAAATCACTGTGATGAGGTCTGAGTATGTCAGAAGAGGCCGGGAGTGTGGAAAGCAGTTCAGAGGCATTAAAGGAAATATTAGGGAGGGAGATGGAAGACTTCTAGAATCCCAAAGGGACGAATTTCAGTTTGGTGGTATTGTTAATTAGCTTCACCCTCCCAACACGTGATTCCTCAGGACCACCAACCAATGCTCCCTCTATGCTGTGGAGTCTTGTGAGCAGAAATTCTACTTTGTGAGCTACTGGCATTAAAAGTTGTGAGCAAGTGATTTGGCTGCTGCATGAATCAGTTTGCTCTGGAGCCCTCCTTCCTGAGCTGAGACAAAAATGTGTGAGCCGGAGGCTAAAAAACTGAGCTAGCTCACACTAACTCAGCTTAGGGGGATCACTGCCACCAACTTGTTCCCTGAAATAATAAACTTATAAAAGATCAAATTATTATTATTATTATTATTAATACTTAGCACTTAGATAGCACTTTTGAGTGCCCAGAGCCCCTCCCATGTATTCTTTGTGTATTCCTTGTCATGGGAGAAAGGCTGGGGTGGGTGGGTTCCAGAGCATTCAAAGGTGGGATAATATTTGGAGACTTCCCGTTGCATGGTCTTAGCCATGGGGAAGCTGTGTTAGACAATAAGGCCAAGGAAGACTACTAAGAAGTAAGTTCCACTTTATTCAGTGGGGCTTACTTCTTGGAAAATGTTCTTAGGGTTACAGCCTTAGATGTTGGTGGCTGGGGAGAGGAATTTTGTGGCTCCTTAAAGACTCCCAGATTTCTAAACCCAGAGGTCGATTCGGGGGGGATCGTGGGGGATCGCAGTTCCCCCGGGTGAGGTGCAGGGGGCGGGGCACACGACGAAGCCCCGCCCCTTCTTCCGGCCGCCCCCTGCTTCCAGCCTCATTCTGTTGCAGAAGGAGGAAGAAGCAGGAGGGTAAGTTGGCGTCCTCCCCCTCTGCCTGGCCGAGGCCACTCCACGTGGCCTCCGCAAGGACTCCCAGCCCCATCCAGGAGCTTCCCCGAGGTAGCTGTGTTAGTCTGTTGCTGCAAAATAGTCCAAGAGTTCAAATAGCACCTTTAAGACTAACAAATAGCACCTTTAAGACTAACCTTTAAGACTAAGACTAACTGAGTGGTAGGTGTGGCCTTATGACACACTTCCGGTGATGTCAGGGGGTGTGGC